GCCTGTATTGTATTCTTTACGTCTTTATTTTGACAAGGAGAAAATGCTAAGAAAAGTAAGTTATGTAAATGGGTTTGTTTTTTTTTTTTTTTTTTGTGGCAAAGATATTTTATAATACGCTGTGTGCACGTTTTATTTTAAAAGTAGCGATTTCAGTCCGATTGACAAACAACGATTTGAAAGCTCTCGAGGATATGACAACGATGATTTGCAGCAACTTGCTTGACACAAATGCCAAAAAAGCTTGAAGAACAGTTGGGGGTGACGTAGCAAATTATTTCTAAAACACACGTGAGAAACATTCAAAGTAAAGGAAAAATGAGTTTCTTATGAAGCTATCAAAGATTAACAGATGGAAATGTGTCTTCTCTTTCTAACATAGAAAGTATTGGCTAGTGCCAATACTTTCTCTCTTTTTTAGCATAAGTTTATAACTTTAATTCATCTTTCAGACACAGTTTGTGAATTCTATAGAAATGCTGTGTCTTTGGACGCGATGGAGTCTTGTCTTTCTCTTGTCCTAAATATTTTGAGAAGAAGGTTCCGCTGTGCATTTGTTGAGACGCAACTTAATTTGCTTGAGTTTGGAGTTGGAACAAAAAGATCCGTGTACTGATACAAAGAACACGAAATTTTCGCGCGACAACATCAGACTCCATATTGTTTCTAAGACTAAAGACATAATAAGTCTTGGATAGAAGACGTTTTACAGTAGTTGGCACCAGATATATCTGCCAAACATCCTTCCGATTACCACTTGTTCCAAGTCGTTGCAACATGCATTGTCCAGTAGTATGTGCTTTCAATCAGAACAGATGAGATCAGAAAATGACTTGACAACTTCATCGCGTCCAAAGGCACAGCATTTTCATAGAATTCATAAGCTGTCTGAAAGATGACTTAAAGTTGCTAAAAAAGAGCACCAGCCAATACTTTGACTGAAACATTTTATTTCTTACTTTCTTTTAAGATAAACCTTGAATTCAGTCTAAAAATCTAATGGATTATTCATTTGTACAATTCTCCGATGCAAAGATAGGTACAAAAAACAGTTTATTTCTATATCGTATTCTCTACAAAACGGGGGTTGTGTACATTATAAAAATATTACGCTAACATTTTTATCTAAAATAAATTTGCGCTGATTTCCTTAGTTATATAATTCTGCTCTCACGCTTTGCATATTATTTAATAATTTTATCTGTTACCAACAATGTATTTACATCCTTTTTTTTTTTTTTTTTTTTTTTTTAACTCGAGTT